ATACTATTGTGCCTTATTATTTAATTTGATGTATTACAAATGTATATGAAATATATGTCATTAATTAATAGTTTTATAACTTAGTTTCTTAGTGATGAAGTAATCTAAAATTTGGTGACGGAGAAGAAGAAAAATATTGAAATTGTTTACATCTATTATACCATAATATCATATGAGTATGGTGAATAAATATACTATTGAGCTTCATTATATAATTTTAGTTATTACCAATGTTTATGAAGTATGTGTCATTAATTAATAATCTTTTAACTTAGTTTCTTAGCGATAAAGTAACTTAAAATTTGGTGACAGAGAAGAAGAAATATATTAAAATTGTTTACATCTAGTATACCATAAAATAATGTGAATATGGTACACAAATATACAATCGATCCTCATTATATAATTTGAATTATTATCAATATATATAATAATAAGTGTGATTAATTAATAATCTTTTAACTTAGTTTCTTAGTGATTAAGTAACCTAGAATTTGTTGACGGAGAAGAAGTAAAATATTTAAATTACTTACATCTATTATACCATTATACCATATGAGTATGGTGAATAAATTTACTATCGAGCCTCATTATATAATTTGAGTTATTACAAATGTATATGAAATATGTGTAATTAATTAATAGTCTTTTAACTTAGTTTCTTAGTAATGAAGTTACCTAAAATTTGGTGATGGAGAAGAAGAAAAATATTGAAATCATTTGCATCTATTATACCATAATACAATATGAATAAGGTGAATAAATATACTATCGAGCATCATTATATAATTTGAGTTATTACCAATGTATATAAAATATGTGCCATTAATTAATAGTCTTTTAACTTAGTTTCTTAGTGAAGAAGAAAACTAAAATTTGGTGACCGAGAAGAAGAAAAATATTGAAATTGTTCACATCTATTATACCATAATACCGTATGAGCATGGTAAAAAAATACACTATCGTGCCTCATTATTTAATTTGATGTATTGCAAATGTATATGAAATGTATGTCATTAGTTATTAGTTTTGTAACTTAGTTTCTTAGTGATGAAGTAATCTATAATTTTGTGACGGAGAAGAAGAAACATATCGAAATTCTTTACGTCTAGTATACCATAACACAATGTGAATATGTTGAACAAATATACAATTGATCCTCATTAAAAAATTCTAATTATTACCGATGTTTATGAAATATGTGTCATTAATTAACAGTCTTATGACTTAGTTTCTTAGTGATGAAGTAACCTAGAATTTGGTGACGGAGAAGAAGAAAAATATCGAAATTATTTACATCTATTATACCATAAAATAATGTGAATATGGTGAACAAATATACAATCGATCCTCATTATATAATTTGAATTATTATCAATATATATAATAATATGTGTGATTAATTAATAATCTTTTAACTTAGTTTTTTAGTGATTAAGTAACCTAGAATTTGTTGACGGAGAAGAAGAAAAATATTTAAATTACTTACATCTATTATACCATTATACCATATGAGTATGGTGAATAAATATACTATCAAGCCTCATTATATAATTTGAGTTATTACCAATGCATATGAAATATGTGTAATTAATTAACAGACTTTTAACTTAGTTTCTTAGTGATGAAGTTACCTAAAATTTGGTGATGGAGAAGAAGAAAAATATTGAAATTATTTGCATCTATTATACCATAATACAATATGAATAAGGTGAATAAATATACTATCGAGCATCATTATATAATTTGAGTTATTACCAATGTATATAAAATATCTGTCATTAATTAATAGTCTTTTAACTTAGTTTCTTAGTGAAGAAGAAAACTAAAATTTGGTGACCGAGATGAAGAAAAATATTGAAATTGTTCACATCTATTATACCATAATACCATATGAGTATGTTAAATAAATATATTATCGTGCCTCATTATTTAATTTGATGTATTGCCAATGTATATGAAATGTATGTCATTAATTATTAGTTTTGTAACTTAGTTTCTTAGTGTTGAAGTAATCTAAAATTTTGACGGAGAAGAAGAAAAATACCGAAATTCTTTACGTCTAGTATACCATAACACAATGTGAATATGTTGAACAAATATACAATTGATCCTCATTAAAATATTCTAATTATTACCAATGTTTATGAAATATGTGTCATTAATTAACAGTCTTATGACTTAGTTTCTTAGTGATGAAGTAACCTAGAATTTGGTGACAGAGAAGAAGAAAAATATCGAAATTAAATACATCTATTATACCATAATACAATATGAATAATGTGAATAAATATACTATCGAGCCTCATTATATAATTTGAATTATTACCAATGCATATAAAATATGTGTCATTAGTTAATAGTCTTTTAACTTAGTTTCTTTGTTAAGAAACAAACTAAAATTTGGTGACAGAGAAGAAGAAAAACATTGAAATTGTTAACATCTATTATACCATAATACCATATGAGTATGGTAAATAAATATACTATTGTGCCTCATTATTTAATTTGATGTATTACAAATGTATATGAATTATATGTCATTAAATAATAGTCTTATAACTTAGTTTCTTAGTGATGAAGTAATCTAAAATTTGGTGACGGAGAAGAAGAAAAATATTGAAATTGTTTACATCTATTATACCATAATATCATATGAGTATGGTGAATAAATATACTATCGATCCTCATTATATAATTTTAGTTATTACCAATGTTTATGAAGTATGTGTCATTAATTAATGTTCTTTTAACTTAGTTTCTTAGCGATAAAGTAACTTAAAATTTGGTGACAGAGAAGAAGAAATATATTAAAATTGTTTACATCTAGTATACCATAAAATAATGTGAATATGGTGCACAAATATACAATCGATCCTCATTATATAATTTGAATTATTATCACTATATATAATAATATGTGTGATTAATTAATAATCTTTTAACTTAGTTTCTTAGTGATTAAGTAACCTAGAATTTGTTGACGGAGAAGAAGAAAAATATTTAAATTACTTACATCTATTATACCATTATACCATATGAGTATGGTGAATAAATTTACTATCAAGCCTCATTATATAATTTGAGTTATTACAAATGTATATGAAATATGTGTAATTAATTAACTTTCTTTTAACTTAGTTTCTTAGTAATGAAGTTACCTAAAATTTGGTGATGGAGAAGAAGAAAAATATTGAAATTATTTGCATCTATTATACCATAATACAATATGAATAAGGTGAATAAATATACTATCGAGCATCATTATATAATTTGAGTTATTACCAATGTATATAAAATATGTGTCATTAATTAATAGTCTTTTAACTTAGTTTCTTAGTGAAGAAGAAAACTAAAATTTGGTGACGAGAAGAAGAAAAATATTGAAATTGTTCACATCTATTATACCATAATACCATATGAGTATGGTAAAAAAATATACTATCGTGCCTCATTATTTAATTTGATGTATTGCCAATGTATATGAAATGTATGTCATTAGTTATTAGTTTTGTAACTTAGTTTCTTAGTGATGAAGTAATCTATAATTTTGTGACGGAGAAGAAGAAACATATCGAAATTCTTTACGTCTAGTATACCATAACACAATGTGAATATGTTGAACAAATATACAATTGATCATTATTAAAAAATTCTAATTATTACCAATGTTTATGAAATATGTGTCATTAATTAACAGTCTTATGACTTAGTTTCTTAGTGATGAAGTAACCTAGAATTTGGTGACGGAGAAGACGAAAAATATCGAAATAATTTACATCTATTATACCATAAAATAATGTGAATATGGTGACCAAATATACAATCGATCCTCATTATATAATTTGAATTATTATCAATATATATAATAATATGTGTGATTAATTAATAATCTTTTAACTTAGTTTCTTAGTGATTAAGTAACCTAGAATTTGTTGACGGAGAAGAAGAAAAATATTTAAATTACTTACATCTATTATACCATTATACCATATGAGTATGGTGAATAAATATACTATCGAGCCTCATTATATAATTTGAGTTATTACCAATGCATATGAAATATGTGTAATTAATTAACAGACTTTTAACTTAGTTTCTTAGTGATGAAGTTACCTAAAATTTGGTGATGGAGACACTACAACATTTGTTGTCTCTGGCAACACTTTTTTAGGTAACATGTAGAAATTGTTGCCTTAAATTCATATAGGCAACGATTTACGATTGTTGTCAAAAATATGTTTGCAACCCTTGATAATCGTCGCCTAAAATACTTTTGGGGACGTTTATGGAGCGATACTCTTTTATTTTTTTGCCAAGGGTTGTTAATTGTGCCCTTAACTGCTTTTGGGGACGCTTTTAGAGCGTTAAAATATTATTTCTTTAGCAATGTTTGACAATTGTCCCCTAAAATATTTTTGGGGACATTTTTAGATTGTTACATTAGTTCTAATAAAAGGCTACATTTCTGAAATGTTGTATAAATTTTTTTAGAATTATCAAATTTTTGGTGACAATCTTCCCTCCAAAACTTATACACTAAAAAACAAATATTTTCTCTATACATTATTAATATATATAAAAAAAATATTTTTCTAACACAGGAATTTAAAAATAAAAAATTTCAATTAAACAGAAAATAAAAAATTATATATATATATATATTACTCTAAAAGTTATATATATTTCAATTAAACAGGAATTTTTCTTCTAAAAACATAGAAATACACAAAAATCTTGCCACAAAGCATGAGCTGATGTTGGAGGTGGAGACTGAAAAGAATCAAAACATAAACCCTAGGCAACATCATATTTCTATTCACCTTGCGTTATTATCATTTTTTAATGAAGAATGGTTCTGATTTAAAGAGAAAAACCACACACTACCCTTGCTGCAACACACAGTGACAACAAGAGCTTTTCGTTCCGCAGTTGAAGAAGAAAACGAGAGAGGAACGGAACGGAACGAATCTCGAGTGTGAAATCACCTCACTCTATTGATGATGCTAAATCCAAGGTATGCCATCCCCAAATTCTATCCTAATCCTATTCTAACTTCTTCTACATTGTTTCTTTATCGCTTCTTCAGTCATTTGCAACGCCACTATGGTAGAAAAAGTTCTGAGTTTCATAATGTAGATGCTGCTGTTACTCATTTCAATTGCTTGATTCGCGCACTTTCTCCGCCACCCACTTGTGAATTTGACAAGGTTTTAGGAGCTATTGTGAGGATGGGTCATTATCCCACTGCAATTTCTCTTTTTTCGCAGTTTCAACTTAGGGGAATTTCACCTTCCATTGCTACTTTCAGCATCTTGATTAACTGTTTTTGTCATCAATCTCATATGGGTTTTGCTTTTTCATTATTGGGTACCATTCTTAAGAGTGGCTATGAACCTAACATGGTGACTTTTAATACAATTATTAATGGTTTTTGTATGAATGGGATGATTTTTAAAGCTTTGAACTTTTACCAAGACCTAGTAGCCCAAGGGTATCTTTTTGATGAGTTTACTTATGGGATTTTAATCAATGGGTTGTGTAAAAATGGGCAAACTAGAGCTGCGTTGCATTTGATACAAGAGATGGAGGAACGGTCGGTTGAACCGAATCTAGTAATGTATAGTGCAGTCATTGATGGACTATGCAAAGATGGACTTGTCACGGATGCGCTTAGTTTGTGTTCTTGGATGGCTGATAAGGGAGTTTTACTTGATGTTGTCACATACAACTCTTTAATTCGTGGTTGTTGCAGTCTGGGTCGATGGCAAGATGTAACCCAGTTACTAACGAGAATGGTGCGGGAAAACGTTGAAATGGATGACTTTACATTTAACATATTGATTGATGCACTATGTAAAGAAGGAAGGATCTTAGAAGCACAAGGTGTGTTTGTTATGATGATGAAGAGGCGAGAAACCGGATATTATTACTTACAACGCTCTGATGGATGGGTATTGTTTGAGAAAAAGTATTACCGAGGCTAAAGAACTATTCAATAGGATGGTCAAAAGAGGCTTGAAAACCTGATGTATTTAATTATAATGTCTTGATTAATGGTTATTGCAAGAAAGATATGGTTGATGAAGCTATGGTTCTCTTTAAAGAGATGTGTCGTAAAAATTTAGTCCCTAGTATTGCTACTTACAATTCTCTTATCGATGGTTCTGCAATTTGGGCAGAATACCACATGTGAAGGAACTTCTTGATGAAATGCGTGATAGTGGTCAACCCCCAGATGTAGTCACTTACAATATACTGTTAGATGAGTTATGTAAAACCCGGCCTTTTGACGATGCAATCTCATTATTTTGGAAGATTGTTCAAGGAATTTGGCCTGATTTTTACACAAACTATGTAATTGTTGACAATTTGTGCAAAGGTGAAAAGTTGAAGATTACAGAAGATGCTCTTCAATACCTTTTGGTGCATGGTTGTCCTCCAAATGTCCGAACATATACTATATTGATCAATGCACTTTGTAAAGATGGCTCTTTTGATGAAGCTACACTCTTACTATCAAAAATGGATACCAATGATTGCCTCCCTGATGCTGTAACTTTTGATACAATTATAAATGAGACCGAAAAGGCAGAGAAACTTCGTCATGAAATGATGGAGAGAGGTCTGGTAAATATTGAAAAAAGGTCAGATACTTTAGTTCCATTTTATTTATTTACTTGCTTTTGGACAGTAACTTCAGCTTCATTTTGGATTATGCTTCTATAATCTATTATCTTTCACACTCTGTAATGGATTAAATTGCCACATCTACTTGTTATTGTGTTATTTGAAAAAGAATCCATGATAGGATAGATATTTTGATATTTCATTACGGTTTTCTCAATATTGTGACTGTTTGTTTCATGTGATGGTGATTATTCATTGTTGTGGAATGACATGCTTGCTGTGTGATTAATGTTTGTGCAGCTTTTGAATTTGTGTTTATTGGAACATTATTGTGTGTATAGTTCCACTGATGTTTTAAAGCTTTGTTTGTGGTTTTGATTCTGGTAACAGTATTTGTGCTTTAGAATTAGAGGTCGGTATGGTTGTTATGAATCTGTGATTAACTTTTGATTTCATGTGTCACGCACGCGCAACATACTGCAAGGAGTTAAACTCCTTATCCAAAGCAGGATTGCCTCCCACATTTAATGTTCTTCTTGTGTGTTATTCACTTTTCGAACCGACACAGGTTCTTTCCTATACTTTTTTTTGCTACTTATATGACTTTTTTCATACATTAATTATAGTTTTAAAATATATATTTGCTCTACTCCACAACAGAAGGATGATCGTAAAATCCTGAAGCGTTGGAAGTGGAGATGTGTACTCATGGATGACGCACATGCTTTAAAGGACTGTAAAATTTAAATTATACTTCAGACAATTCACTATCAAAGCCCTTCATGGTCCCGCTCATACCAAAGCTGGATAGGTGAGTTTTCTCCGATGAAAAATATTTTTCTCAACTTAGATTAAATGTATCTGTTGTATTTATTTTGATACACGTATGTCCAATCCTCAAATATATTTGGAACTTATCAATATTACTTTTATAATTAATTATTAATTATACTTTTTTTTTAATATTTATCAATTAGATATGACACAACAAAGTGATTAGTACGGTGATAATAAATAAGTGAATGAGCAAAAACAACAATCAGACCGAGTAGGATAAGAAAAACTCGGTCCGATCAGACTGAGTAGAAACGAAAAAACTCAATAAAATTGTTGAATTACAGGTCAAGTTTTACCTCTTAGTCTGCAAATTTTGTTTAATAAGTTTGTAATTGTAATTGCATTTCATTTTCTCATTTTCTAATTATTTGTCTGTAGATCATTCACCGTCGTTGTTTCGGTTAAACCTCAATAGATATTTCATCGGTTTCAACATTGTTTGGGAAAGAAACGTCTTCGTTTCATTTACTAGCTTTGTTGTTGTTGTTGCAGTGAAGGAAGTTGTGTTGAAATCGAAGTCGCTTGTAACTAAGGACAAGATTTTAGTTTCTATTACTGCTGGAATCAAGTTGAAAGAATTCAGGTAACAGATACATATTATATAGTTTGAAAAGAAACAACAAATACATATTATATAAGACTATGAAATGTTTGTGCATGTTTAGATTAAAAGTTCACCAATTTATTCTATGTTTGGTATTGGAATGCATGTTTAGTGTATATTTAGATTATAAATGAAATTTTTATAATAACTATGCATTTGTAAAAGCTACGTTGATATATGAACCATGGTGTTTTTCCATCCTTTATATGATAAAGAGTAATGTATAATTTATTTCATTTTAGAAAACCAAACATGATAAAGAAGGATTGGGTGGAGTTACCTCCACACAGTCAAAGTTATAAGGACGGTGTAAATTACTTTTTGGATATTGCATTCACCAAAGGAATGGTTGAAGAAGAAGAGATTTTGTGTCCTTGTTCTGTATGTTGCAATGATAGTTGGGAAGTAAGATATGTAGTGTATGACCATTTATGTAGTAAAGGATTTGTAAAGGGATACACTGAATGGATTTATCATGGTGAAGATGAGAGTCTTATAGATCTTGATGGTGATAGTGATGATGAAAATTCACATCCATTAAAAACCTTCATAATTAATTCACATCCATGAGATATGAAGAATATAAATAATGTGTTTTGCTCATTGGTTTAGTTTTTATTTGTGCGAGGTTTAATTCTTGTTGATGTCTTAATTGTCCTTTGGACCAAAAATACTTATGGTTAATGTGTTTTATTTTATTTTCTTATGCAGCAATGTATCAATGAAGATGTTGAAAAGGACGATATAAATGATGAAATTCAAGAGGACGACATAAATGATAAAATTCAAGAGGACGACCTAAATGATAAAATTCAAGAGGACGACGTAGATGACGAATTTCAAGAGGACGACATAGATCTAGTTGATGAATTTCAAGAGGAGGATATAGATGGTGAATTTCAAGAGGACGACGTAGATGAAGAATTTATGGAGGATGACATATCTATTGAATTTCAAGAGGACGATCTGGATGCTTTACTCCTAGAAGACAAACTTGAATGAGTTGGATGATGTCTTTTTTTTGGCTTGTAGTTGAAAGCATTAAACTTGAAATATGATTTTTGTTCTTTTGCTGAACTATGTTTTTAGTTATTTTACTAGGGTCATACTTCAAAGTATTAAAAGTAATATTGTTACGTTAGGCATTTTGTGTACTCTATATACTATATCTTGAATTAAAGTTCGAACTCGATTTTATTATATTGCAACTTTTATGGATGTATGGTTTAAGTTATATAATCAATATTATTTTTGAAGCCAATTATTATTGACTATATTATTTTGATAATAATTGCAAAATTGTATATTTTATATGGACACTATAAAACAACAACATATAAGCTATGGCTACACTTCAAAAACGATCTTCCTGATTCAGGTTTAAGGCAACGATTGTTAATTGTAGCCGAATTTGGCAACGCTTAAAAAATGTTGTCTCAGAGGCCGTAAATAATCGTCCCCTATTCCTTTACTATAGGCGACGTTTTTCAAAAGAGTTCCCAAAAAACATAAAAAAACGTTGCCTCAAATAATAGGCAACGCTCGCACAGAAGACGCCCAGAAAACGTCCCCTATTGTTTTAGGCAACGATTTTCAGAGTTCTGGCAACGTTTTTCAATTGTTGCTGGAGAGCCTAAATGTTGTAGTGAGAAGAAGAAAAATATTGAAATTATTTGCATCTATTATACCATAATACAATATGAATAAGGTGAATAAATATACTATCGAGCATCATTATATAATTTGAATTATTACCAATGTATATAAAATATGTGTCATTAATTAATAGTCTTTTAACTTAGTTTCTTAGTGAAGAAGAAAACTGAAATTTGGTGACCGAGAAGAAGAAAAATATTGAAATTGTTCACATCTATTATACCATAATACCATATGAGTATGGTAAATAAATATACTATCGTGCCTCATTATTTAATTTTAGTTATTACCAATGTTTATGAAGTATGTGTCATTAATTAATATTCTTTTAACTTAGTTTCTTAGCGATAAAGTAACTTAAAATTTGGTGACGGAGAAGAAGAAATATATTAAAATTGTTTACATGTAGTATACCATAAAATAATGTGAATATGGTAAACAAATATACAATCGATCCTCATTATATAATTTGAGTTATTATCAATATATATAATAATATGTGTGATTAATTAATAATCTTTTAACTTAGTTTCTTAGTGATTAAGTAACCTAGAATTTGTTGACGGAGAAGAAGAAAAATATTTAAATTACTTACATCTATTATACCATTATACCATATGAGTATGGTGAATAAATATACTATCGAGCCTCATTATATAATTTGAGTTATTACCAATGCATATGAAATATGTGTAATTAATTAACAAACTTTTAACTTAGTTTCTTAGTGATGAAGTTACCTAAAATTTGGTGATGGAGAAGAAGAAAAATATTGAAACTATTTGCATATATTATACCATAATACAATATGAATAAGGTGAATAAATATACTATCGAGCATCATTATATAATTTGAATTATTACCAATGTATAAAAAATATGTGTCATTAATTAATAGTCTTTTAACTTAGTTTCTTAGTGAAGAAGAAAACTGAAATTTGGTGACCGAGAAGAAGAAAAATATTGAACTTGTTCACATCTATTATACCATAATACCTATGAGTATGGTAAATAAATATACTATCGTGCCTCATTATTTTATTTGATGTATTACCAATGTATAAGAAATGTATGTCATTAATTATTAGTTTTGTAACTTAGTTTCTTAGTGATGAAGTAATCTAAAATTTGGTGACGGAGAAGAAAAAACATATCGAAATTCTTTACGTCTAGTATACCATAACACAATGTGAATATGTTGAACAAATATACAATTGATCCTAATTAAAAAATTCTAATTATTACCAATGTTTATGAAATATGTGTCATTAATTAACAGTCTTATGACTTAGTTTCTTAGTGATGAAGTAACCTAGAATTTGGTGACGGAGAAGAAGAAAAATATCGAAATTATTTACATCTATTATACCATAATACAATATGAATAAGGTGAATAAATATACTATCGAGCCTCATTATAGAATTTGAATTATTATCAATATATTTAATAATATGTGTCATTAATTAATAATCTTTTAACTTAGTTTCTTAGTGATTAAGTAACCTAGAATTTGTTGACGGAGAAGAAGTAAAATATTTAAATTACTTACATCTATTATACCATTATACCATATGAGTATGGTGAATAAATTTACTATCGAGCCTCATTATATAATTTGAGTTATTACAAATGTATATGAAATATGTGTAATTAATTAATAGTCTTTTAACTTAGTTTCTTAGTGATTAAGTAACCTAGAATTTGTTGACGGAGAAGAAGAAAAATATTTAAATTACTTACATCTATTATACCATTATACCATATGAGTATGGTGAATAAATATACTATCGAGCCTGATTATATAATTTGAGTTATTACCAATGCATATGAAATATGTGTAATTAATTAACAGTCTTTTATCTTAGTTTCTTAGTGATGAAGTTACCTAAAATTTGCTGATGGAGAAGAAGAAAAATATTGAAATTATTTGCATCTATTATACCATAATACAATATGAATAAGGTGAATAAATATACTATCGAGCATCATTATATAATTTGAATTATTACCAATGTATATAAAATATGTGTCATTAATTAATAGTCTTTTAACTTAGTTTCTTAGTGAAGAAGAAAACTAAAATTTGGTGACCGAGAAGAAGAAAAATATTGAAATTGTTCACATCTATTATACCATAATACCATATGAGTATGGTAAATAAATATACTATCGTGCCTCATTATTTAATTTTAGTTATTACCAATGTTTATGAAGTATGTGTCATTAATTAATATTCTTTTAACTTAGTTTCTTGGCGATAAAGTAACTTAAAATTTGGTGACGGAGAAGAAGAAATATATTAAAATTGTTTACATGTAGTATACCATAAAATAATGTGAATATGGTGAACAAATATACAATCGATCCTCATTATATAATTTGAATTATTATCAATATATATATAATAATATGTGTGATTAATTAAAAATCTTTTAACTTAGTTTCTTAGTGATTAAGTAACCTAGAATTTGTTGACGGAGAAGAAGAAAAATATTTAAATTACTTACATCTATTATACCATTATACCATATGAGTATGGTGAATAAATATACTATCGAGCCTCATTATATAATTTAAGTTATTACCAATGCATATGAAATATGTGTAATTAATTAACAAACTTTTAACTTAGTTTCTTAGTGATGAAGTTACCTAAAATTTGGTGATGGAGAAGAAGAAAAATATTGAAACTATTTGCATCTATTATACCATAATACAATATGAATAAGGTGAATAAATATACTATCGAGCATCATTATATAATTTGAATTATTACCAATGTATAAAAAATATGTGTCATTAATTAATAGTCTTTTAACTTAGTTTCTTAGTGAAGAAGAAAACTGAAATTTGGTGACCGAGAAGAAGAAAAATATTGAACTTGTTCACATCTATTATACCATAATACCTATGAGTATGGTAAATAAATATACTATCGTGCCTCATTATTTTATTTGATGTATTACCAATGTATAAGAAATGTATGTCATTAATTATTAGTTTTGTAACTTAGTTTCTTAGTGATGAAGTAATCTAAAATTTGGTGACGGAGAAGAAAAAACATATCGAAATTCTTTACGTCTAGTATACCATAACACAATGTGAATATGTTGAACAAATATACAATTGATCCTAATTAAAAAATTCTAATTATTACCAATGTTTATGAAATATGTGTCATTAATTAACAGTCTTATGACTTAGTTTCTTAGTGATGAAGTAACCTAGAATTTGGTGACGGAGAAGAAGAAAAATATCGAAATTATTTACATCTATTATACCATAATACAATATGAATAAGGTGAATAAATATACTATCGAGCCTCATTATAGAATTTGAATTATTATCAATATATTTAATAATATGTGTCATTAATTAATAATCTTTTAACTTAGTTTCTTAGTGATTAAGTAACCTAGAATTTGTTGACGGAGAAGAAGAAAAATATTTAAATTACTTACATCTATTATACCATTATACCATATGAGTATGGTGAATAAATATACTATCGAGCCTCATTATATAATTTGAGTTATTACCAATGCATATGAAATATGTGTAATTAATTAACAGTCTTTTAACTTAGTTTCTTAGTGATGAAGTTACCTAAAATTTGCTGATGGAGAAGAAGAAAAATATTGAAATTATTTGCATCTATTATACCATAATACAATATGAATAAGGTGAATAAATATACTATCGAGCATCATTATATAATTTGAATTATTACCAATGTATATAAAATATGTGTCATTAATTAATAGTCTTTTAACTTAGTTTCTTAGTGAAGAAGAAAACTAAAATTTGGTGACCGAGAAGAAGAAAAATATTGAAATTGTTCACATCTATTATACCATAATACCATATGAGTATGGTAAATAAATATACTATCGTGCCTCATTATTTAATTTTAGTTATTACCAATGTTTATGAAGTATGTGTCATTAATTAATATTCTTTTAACTTAGTTTCTTGGCGATAAAGTAACTTAAAATTTGGTGACGGAGAAGAAGAAATATATTAAAATTGTTTACATGTAGTATACCATAAAATAATGTGAATATGGTGAACAAATATACAATCGATCCTCATTATATAATTTGAATTATTATCAATATATATATAATAATATGTGTGATTAATTAATAATCTTTTAACTTAGTTTCTTAGTGATTAAGTAACCTAGAATTTGTTGACGGAGAAGAAGAAAAATATTTAAATTACTTACATCTATTATACCATTATACCATATGAGTATGGTGAATAAATATACTATCGAGCCTCATTATATAATTTAAGTTATTACCAATGCATATGAAATATGTGTAATTAATTAACAAACTT